GCTGATATCAAGTCAAATTCAGGTGCTGACACTACTTGCATTAAGAAAATAGATTGAATGATGTATTAATGAATACAGAGCTGTATTAATTTGTGTCTTTGACATCTGCCTGGAGTTAAGCTTTAACCACTTCCTGTCCGGCCCAGCAGGGGCGGACTGACCATTTGGAAACTCGGGCACTGCCCGAGGGCCCGGGGTCAGTAGGGGGCCCCATGAGATGCCCCTGGTACCTTTTTCATAGGCTTTTTTGAGTTTGGGCAAGGACACAGGGGCCCCATGATCCCCTGTTGCCCGGGGGCCCCATGGGTTGTCAGTCCACCCCTGGTCCGGCCCATGTATATAAACAGCCGGACAGAAGCATTGCAGGAGCGGGTGGACATTTGTAAACATCCTCCCTGTTTCCCTGCCTGTACGCACTCCCTGGGAGAACACGCGGCACCATGATTCAGTGCCCACTGTGTCATCAGGACACAGCGGAACACCGATCGCTGTACTGGACCTCTGTGTAAGGTCCGGATCATGTGATCACTGATTGGCCAATCAGTGATCACATGAACAGTAGTAAGCAAGATGTCACTTTCTGACATCATTGCTTACTACTTGTGAAATCAGTGAATGATCACAGAGGTCACATGGTACAAAGCTATTTACAACAGCCTTGTACCATGTTCCAAGCTGTGACCAATCACAGCTCACACAGTATTTCTCAATGGCTGCAAGAATGCAGCCAGAGAGAAGGAGAAATGATTGCTTTCACAGCCTCTATGGGTGTAAAAGCAATCAGTGTAAAAAAAAAAAAATCTTCATTTCCCCCCACAAGTAGTACAGTGTCACTATGGTTGATCATTTTCTTTTCCATCAAATGATGCGGCATCCATACGTTCCTAACACATTACCCAGTCCATATCAGTATAGATATCCAGCATGGTATTTTTCCCCATTGAGATCCGATGTGTTTTCAAGTGTTCCTTTATTTTTTTGTATAGTTACATCTGTTTAATACTGTCCTGGACTGTTATCGGTTATATTGTTCTCAGCTATCTCTGAGGACTACAGAACCACTCCTTTTTATATTACGGAGAGTAGGAGAGGTATAGGGTGCTGTAGTCCTATCTTGTTTCTGTTGTACTAATACAGAAGGGTAAGTAAGTGTTGTCGTCTTAGGGAAGAACTTGTGGTACTGGCAGAATCACCAAACTAATGCTGCCACCAAATCTATAGACTGGTAAGTCTGGTGCAATATGTCACATTTTTGTTTCAGGGTTTATATATGCTTTAAAGTAGTACTAAAAGGCCATTTTTGTATTTTTAAATACATCAGAAATGTAGTGCATCATCATACATTGCCCCTCAAAAATAGTCCAGAAACACTTAAGTGGAACTAAACTCATCAATTTGTTTGAATTGGTTTAAAAAAAAAACAGTTACATTCTTGGCATGCTGGGAATGCAAACTGTCACATTTGCATGTACTGTAAGTCAAACTGCCAAACTGATCACGTGTGCAGCACAATGGTGGTTGGAAATCAAACAGAGGCTAAGATGGTAGCTTCCTTGACTGAAGAGGATCCTTCAGTTCCTCTTTATGCTAGGCAAACATGGGTAACATTTTATTCTTTTTGTTCAGCCACATGGTTGAATGAAACAAATTGTATTGATTTCCCCATCCACACATTTGATGTGGATGGGAGAATCCTCCCCACTGTGTAATTGTATTGTGCAGCAGCTCATTGGTTGCATGCAAAAATTTTTAAGCAGCAACCTTCATGAGAAGTTAATCGATAGATCATTTTCAAACATCTAGTCTCAACTACATGCACAATCCCCCTACCTCAGGACTACATGTCACCTACATGCCACCAAGTATACCCAGCTGCACAAGCCACTTTCAATCAAAAATGCATAGGTGGGTAAATCTTTCAAGCTCAAGTTGCCTGTGCCTTTTGGCACAGGCATTGTATTAATGTCAACCAGTAGTCCTGGGAGTGCACATGAAAGGGTGGCTCTAAAAGATCCTGCGAGCAAAGGAGCCACCCTTACAACTGAAGTATGGACCAGACGCCTGGGGACAGTGGGAAAAGGAGGGACAGAAATAAATACAATGCAGAAGATGCTGGCAAGTACATAAACCCTACCTTAAAGTAGTTGTAAACTCTCACATATACACAGTGAAGTGACTAACCTCAGGTAATACACAGAGATGAAACTAATCATCCTACATAAGTTGTACCTGTTTATCTATAGCTGTCTTTTCCATCCATTCAAAGCACAGAATTTAAACAGGATCTCTCAGTTCTGAAAAGCAGGGGGTGGGGAGCTGATGTTATATCAGTGAGGAGAGCTCTGAGAGCTGATTGGAGGGAAGGAACACCCCCCACTTTTACACAACACTCAGGAACAGAGCTGAGGCTGTCAATCACAGACTGTGCCCCCCGTCACCATTTTTCTCTTGGTGTCAGGAAAAACTCATCAGAAGTAACTCATGCTTATAGCAGAGGAAGGAGACAGAAATTAGATTCTACAAGCACACACTATTAAGGGACATGTTGTGTTCATATTTCATGTCTGAGTTGTACAACTACTTTAACCACTTAACATCCACCCTACAGCACATTTATTGCTACAAGGCAGCATTCCTGTGCAATATATATATGGATGTGTGTGTGTGTGTGTGATTTTGCACCTTCTCAATATGGGGGCACGCCCACGCTGCCGGAGGATCGCTTCTGCTGTGAAATATCACAAACCGATCTACAAGCACTGGCGAGCAGTTGCTCGCTGGCACCTGCAGATTGTCAGTCAGGGAGGAAAAACAGAGCTGTGTCTATGTTTACATAGATACAGTTCTGTTGTGACAGAGAGATGCCATGAATCATGTATCTGTGCAGAGCTGAGAACACAATCCATCACTTCCCATAGTAAAAGCACAACCTAGTGTACACCAAGCACATAGCTAGGCACAAACTTCACCCTTTGATCACCCTAGATGTTAACCCCTTCCCAACTAGTGTCATTAGTACAGTGATTAGTGTATATTTTTAGCATTGATTGCTGTATTAGTGTCACTGGTTTCCACAAACTGTCAGTTAGTGTAAAAATGTCCACCACAATATTGCAGCCCCGCTATAAGCCGCTGATTGCCGCCATTACTAGTATAAAATTTTTTTTTATAAATGTCAGTATATGTACCATGTTCGTAGACACTATAGCTTGTGTGCAAACTAATGAATATACAATTATTGGGATTTTTTTTTACCAAAAATATGTAGCAGAATATATTTTGGCCTAAATTTATAAAGAAATTAGATTTTTAACATGTTGTTATTGGATATGTTTTATAGCAGAAAATAAAAAAATGTTTCTTTTTCAAAATTGTTAGTCTTTTTTTGTTTAAAATGCAAAAAGTAGAAACTGCAGAGGTGATCAAATATCATCAAAAGAAAGCTCTGTTTGTGGGAAAAAAGGACATAAATTTCAGCATTGCATGACGGCGCAATTGTCACCTAAAGTAGCACAGCGCCATATCGCAAAAAATAGCCTGGTCAGGAAGGGGGTTAAATCTTATGGAGGGTAAGTGGTTAAGCGTCTAATATAATAATAATAAAAAAGAAAATGTTTGCTACCACTATAAATATAAATGTACAGATTCGTTAAGTACAAACAAGCATGTCGGTACATCGATAGGTCATGAGAACAATTGTTGTGTAACCAGATCATGTCTGTATGTGTATGTTGTCTGACATCTCTTGCAGCCTCTCTGATAGCATTTCCTTGTTGGCATTACGTAGGGTGTGTTAAGGACACCAGGACTGCGGTCTGGCCTGCTAATGCCATACACGCCACCAGTTACTCTCCTGCATTGTATACATTAGACGCTGAAATCCTTCTAATCTTTTCTTTTTTTTTTTTATATATACACAAAGTCCACAGGAACTCCCACAAAGCAAAAGCCGTCTCTCCTTCCCCGTGTGCCCTGTATGATTTCCTATTAATTATATTTGTCCTGACTTGCTTTAAATGACAGTGTTTGTGTGCATTCCTGTACAATGAAAAGAACCGTGGGGAAAGAATAAAATGCCTTTACTCCTTGGATAAATTGTTGAGGGATTTCCTAAGATCTTCGCTGGATGAATCAGGCACTTGATGTGAATGAGTGCACCCAGGTAAGGGCACTGCCCTGTCATGCCGGTAAACATTGTATTAAGTGGGAGGAACTTGCGTTAGACAAATAGATGAAAAGGAAGGAGGTGACTGTGGAATGTACAAACATGATAATCGGGGCATTCACCGTGAAGTATTAGAGAGTAATCTTGGTGCCCAGGTATGAATGTGCCACTTGCAGCAAGAAAAGGCTTCCTACCGCAAGGAAAGGACAGCCTGTACCGGCGTTACCTAGCCAAAATCCTGGAGACTTTCTGCTTTCAAGTCCATGGCACAAGGATGGTAAGTGACGACTGAGTAGATTGACTGCAGGTTATTTTGTAGAACTGGAACTGGTGAGCTGCTGATCCTAATTGTAGTTGGGGCCAGATTTCCATCTCCATAGGTATGCAGCCTTTGGCACACAAAGCAACGCTCCTCAGATCATATCAGTTCTTTACATTGAACATTCACCTGCTGTACTGCTTCTTAGAATATTATGGTAATGTGTAGTTAATTATGGCAAAATTATTGTAGTTCTATGGATGACTGTGAAAAGAAATATGGAGCTTTTGGCTCCACCACTTACGGATATAGGCTTGCTGTCTATTGATAAATCCAGCCCAAATGTCACGCCTACTCCAAACGCAGATGGTCAGGCACTGTAGCTTCTGTGCTCTTCACCTATAGCAGCGCCCTTTCTCATAAGGCAAGCAGGCCTAACGTTAATTGGTTGCTCCTAGGACTTATACACAATACCATAGTGCCTGACCACAACACCGGGGCAGGTGCATACTGAGCAAAGCAAACAGATACTTGCGGTTGGCAGACAGTCAGAGTGGTTCAGTGACAGTCCAGGTCAGGGGCTGACTGACCATTTGGAAATTCGGGCACTGCCCGAGGGCCTGGGATCAGTAGGGGGCCCCATGAGATGCCCCTGGTACCTTTTTCATAGGTTTTTTTGAGTTTGGGCAAGGACACAGGGGCCCCATGATCCCATATTGCCCGGGGCCCCATGAGTTGTCAGTCCGCCCCTGGTCCAGGTACAAGGCAGGCAAGGTTCACAATAGTCAGGGTCAAACCATAGTCAAAAGGAAGGCAGAGTTCAGAGAATAGTCCAATATCCAATCCGAGATCATCAACAGCAGAGCAGGACAGGCAAACAGGCAGCTTGAGCACATTTAACCAGCGCTATCACAAGCATAAGACTGCAGGCTTGGCTGGCTTTGGTCTCCACCCAGAAACTGGCCACATCAATCACCTTGCAGGTGGACAGACGGGGATGCATCAGAGTCAAAACCAGAATGCTGAAATAAGACCAGCAGCTGTCAAAGAAAAGGAGCTTTTAGACGTTCCTGACACCGGTTCACCAAACTTGTGGCCAATAGCACCAATCAAATAGATCTTTCTTCTCATAAATATAATTTTTCTCTGCCACATATGATACACACTTGGCAATGTATCCATAAGCATATTTAAAATAACTGTTCTACTGATGATGGAGAAAAAAGTATGGAGCCTGTAGACATAAGCCTATTGTGCCTACTGGTTACTCCAGCCTAATTCACCAAAACGTGTGGCCAATAGCATCAATCAAATAGAACTTTCTTTTCATAAATATCAACTTTCTTTGCCACATAGCATACACACATATATTAAAATCAGGTGAATCATTGTCCATCCAAGGGCAACATTTGATCAATTTTTCTGGTGATATTAATCTGCTGTATGTATCATATTACTGAAAATACTGTACACATGATTTTTCATTAGCACTAGGCGCGTTTATGAATGTTTGCGCGTTAATACATTCTAATTGCCAAAACAAATGAACATTCTGGCCAATAGAATGCATTAAGGCCAGATGTGTGAACACACGTTAACCACATTTTTCTGCTGCTAAACTTCTGTAGGAGAAAAGTTGTCATAAGGAATACAATGTGCATGTGGCCTTAAAGTGTATATAAACCCAAGAACAAAAACGTGATGCAGATTACAGATTAGAAGTGGCAACTGTATTCGTTTTCTTTTTTTAGGCTTTTTTTGTTGTTCTTTTTCACCTAGTGATCGTGCCAACAGAATACTTCCTGACCTAGGGTGACGGCATTGTACTATATCTATGAAGTAGCAGTGTTGTCACATTAAGCTACTCTTCTGATTGGGACTACAACTCCCCCCAGTAATTTACAGAGATTTCTGTACTTGCATTGCTGGATTTCTGAAGAAAAGGATAGTTGCCTGGCTGTGTCTTATTTTAAATCACAGACCCAGAACAAGAATGCTGTATATGTGTCAGAACTTCTTCTAGGTCAGCAAATACTACACTTCTTCATCTAGGTCAACGATTACTATACTTCTAGTTTAGTGACTACTATATTTCTCTAGGTTAGTGACTACTAGGCTTCTAGGTTAGTGACTACTATACTTCTTCTAGGTTAGCGACTACTATACTTCTTCTAGGTTAGTGACTACTATACTTCTAGGTCAGTGACTACTATACTTTTAGGTTAGTGACTACTATACTTCTAGGTTAGTGACTACTATATTTCTTCTAGGTCAGTGACTACTATACTTCTAGGTTAGTGACTACTATATTTCCTCTAGGTTAGTGACTACTATACTTCTTCTAGGTTAGTGACTACTATACTTCTAGGTTAGTGACTACTATATTTCCTCTAGGTTAGTGACTACTATACTTCTTCTAGGTTAGTGACTACTATACTTCTAGGTCAGTGACTACTATACTTCTAGGTTAGTGACTACTATACTTCTAGGTTAGTGACTACTATATTTCTTCTAGGTTAGTGACTACTATATTTCCTCTAGGTTAGTGACTACTATACTTCTTCTAGGTCAGTGACTACTATACTTCTAGGTTAGTGACTACTATACTTCTAGGTTAGTGACTACTATATTTCTTCTAGGTTAGTGACTACTATACTTCTAGGTCAGTGACTACTATACGTCTAGGTTAGTGACTACTATATTTCTTCTAGGTTAGTGACTACTATACTTCTAGGTTAGTGACTACTATACTTCTAGGTTAGTGACTACTATATTTCTTCTAGGTCAGTGACTAATATACTTCTAGGTTAGATACTACTATATTTTCTCTAGGTTAGTGACTACTATACTTCTTCTAGGTTAGTGACTACTATACTTCTAGGTTAGTGACTACTATACTTCTTCTTGGTCAGTGACTACTATACTTCTAGCTTAGTGACTATTATACGTCTTCTAGGTCAACAACTACTAAACGTCTTTTAGGTTAAATACTACTATACTTCTTCTAGGTTAGTGACTACTATACTTCTTCTAGGTTAGCAACTACTATACTTCTTCCATGTCAGTGACTACTATACTTCTTCCATGTCAGTGACTACTATACTTCTTCTAGGTCAGTGATTACTATACTTCTTCTAGGTTAGTAACTACTATACTTCTAGCTTAGTGACTATTATACTTCTTCTAGGTCAACGACTACTATGCGTCTTTTAGGTCAGCATCCACTATACTTCTTCTAGGTCAGTGACTACTATACTTCTTCTAGGTCAGTGACTACTATACTTCTTCTAGGTTAGCAACTACTATACTTCTTCCATGTCAGTGACTACTATACTTCTTCCATGTCAGTGACTACTATACTTCTTCTAGGTCAGTGATTACTATACTTCTTCTAGGTTAGTAACTACTATACTTCTAGCTTAGTGACTATTATACTTCTTCTAGGTCAACGACTACTATGCGTCTTTTAGGTCAGCATCCACTATACTTCTTCTAGGTCAGTGACTACTATACTTCTTCTAGGTTAGTGACTACTATACTTCTTCTTAGTTAGCGACTAGTATACTTCTTCTAGGTCAGCAACTACTAAACATCTTCTAGGTTAGTGACTACTATACTTGTTCGTCTAGATTAGCGACTACTTTACTTATTCTAGGTCAGCAACTGCTACAGTATACATCTTCTAGGTAACTACTATACTTCTTCAAGGTCAGCAACTACTATACTTCTAAAAGGTCAGTGACTACTATACTTCTTCTAGGTTGTAACTACTATACTTCTAGCTTAGTGACTATTATACTTCTTCTAGGTCAACGACTACTATGCGTCTTTTAGGTCAGCATCCACTATACTTCTTCTAGGTTAGTGACTACTATACTTCTTTTAGGCCAGCGACCACTATAGTTCTTGGTCAGTGACTACTATATTTCTTCTTGGTCAGTGACTACTATATTTCTTCTAGGTCAGTGACTACTATACTTCTATTAGGACAGCAACCACTATACTTCGTCTGGGTCAGAGACTACTATACTTTTTCTAGGTCAACTAGTATACTTCTTCTTGGTCAGCAACTAGCATACTTCTTTTCGAGGTCAGTGACTGCTATACTTCTATTAAGTCAGCAACCACTATGTTTCTTCTAGGTCAGCGAGCACTATTCTTCTCCTAGGTCAGCAACTAGTACACTTCTTTGTCAGGAACTAATATATGTACTTTTTCAAAGTCTGTGACTACTATACTTATTCTAGGTCAGCGACCACTATAGTTCTTCTAGGTTAGTGACTACTATACATTTATTAGGTCAGCGACCATCAACAACCACTATACTTCTTATAGGTCAGCAACTAATATACGTTTTTGAAGTCAGTGACTACTATAATTCTTCTTGATCAGCAACTAGTATATTTCTTCAAGTTCAGTGGCTACTATACTTCTTCTAGGTCAGGAACTAGTATATTTCTTTGAATTCAGTGGCTACTGCTCTTCTTCTACATCAGCAAGGAAGCACTGAAGCCAAAGCTTCGGTGTGACAGTCATGGAACTAGGATTCTCAAAAGGACATGCTAATAATGGCCGCCTCCATGATACATTCCCTTTAGGCCCCTTTTAACATAAAATGGTAGATAGTATAGAACAATAGGCTACATAGAGTTGTAAGTGATAATGGGTATTTTTTTAATTAACCCATTGCAAGTTTTTTTTTTTATTTTTGGTTTCGCCAGACCTGGGGAGATTCACTCTCTCCATTGTCAGTGTCACTGAGCTGTAAACGGACGGGAATTGCAAACATTGACAGCAGGTGTTGTGAGAAATATAAGGAGAAATTTCCCAGTATGGGATTTTCCTTTACTTTATTGAGATTTCCTTCATATTTTCATTCGGCTGGCAACTTAGAGGTCACATCATAGCGGCATATTCATCTGCCATCTAGTATCCGCTGCTTTGGTGTAGTCGTGGAAACAAAAGCTAAACTCTGATTGGTTCTCTACAGAGCTTTGCACTGTTCAATTCAGAACATCACTAAACACAGCTTGCAGGCTGTGGCACAGAACAGAACCATAGCACATCTGCCCTACAAATCCAGACGGCACTATACGTTTTAATTACCAGCATCACCCTTGAGGTTCTCTTATGCTTTAATTTTCTAATTATGTGTGATTACAGTACGGCTCCATGAGTCTGTACACTATACTGTGGGTATGTATGTGTAAATTGGAAAATACGTTTCTTTCCTGGCAGCCGTCTGTTGTTGGATGTGCATTGCATTACTCTTTTGTCTGGGGGTTTTACTTGTTTATAGGAAATCTGCAGTATATTTTAAGTGAGACCATACTTTCAATTTTTATCACAGCTTTTTCCTTAAAAGCCAACTATTTGAAACATATTGTATTCTGATACGTGTATGCATCTAATAGTTGTAATGATAATATTCAGTATATTAATGGGTCAATCCACCCCAAAGTGATGTTTGTGCTATAGGTGGAGCTTTGACTTATTGGGGTTGATTTACTAAAACTGGAGAGTGCAAAATTTGATGCAGCTCTGCATAGAACCAATCAGCTTCCAGGTTTTTTGTCAAAACTTAATTGAACAAGCTGAGAGTAGAAGCTGATTGGCTACCATGCACAGCTGCACCAGATGTTGCACTCTCCAGTTTTAGTAAATCTACCCCATTGCATGTTTTAAATAACCCAACATCAGGATCTCCCTACCATGATACCCAACCCTGTTCCTGTGCACCTGGGAGGTTTGTCTGTTG